ATATATATAATAGATTATGAAATATAAAAGAATTATGATTCATAACTGATTTAAAATTTAAATCACCAATTTTTTTTAAAGAATTTTAGAAAGATTTATCTTCTTATAAATTTCTCACCAAATATGGCGTAGACTACATGTATTCATCTTTGACTTTGAAATGGACTATAATTAATAATAGTCCTAAATCCTAAATATTATATGCACCCAAAGAATAGAATGAAACATTATTATTAACAGACATTTCAAGTCTACTATTACTGTGGTTGTCTAGTGAAAAAAATCCTCTTAAAAAACAAACAAAGAGTAATAAATTAAAATAGGCAATGAGAAAAATAAAATTAATAGTTTTTTTAAGTGTTTTTTTATTTGAAATGCACCAATATAATATTTTTTATTTTTTAAAATTTATTTTGGATACTAAGTCGACATTAAAATAACAAAAAAATATTAAAAAAGTTAATTTCAAGCAAAAAAAAATTAAATTTTGAAAACATTATTATTCAGCTTTAGGAACAAACATGCACCTCATTATTGAACACCTTCCTCAATACATTTTTTAAAATAGAATAAAAACACTCAAGAGCACCAATGATTTTTTTTCAAAAAAAAATAAAAACTAATAGCATATAATACACAAAGAGAGAACTATTTGGTTGCCTTTCTTAGGTCAGTGCATATGTTTGAAATGCATTTTTAGGGTACATTCTGCTCTTTGTATGGCTCAACCTGCCCTGGAACTTATAGAAATATATTAAAAACTCATCTTCCTTTTAGTACAAATTCATCTTATAATACCACATAATTAGCCCGTCAGATGTTGATAAATCAACTGCAATGGAGACTAGATGTTGCTTATATCTATCAGAATTCAGACTAGATGTTGTATCCAAGGTTAGAAAAGCTCACCTGCAATGGAGACTGCAGGAAATCCCTGTAACGAAGTTGGCATAAGAGATTAAAGCATTAGCGAGAATGGCATGGGAAGAAAAGAAAGTGATCGTCCCCTTCTACCTGCAACTAAATGCTAGTTCTTATTTTTATTTAAAAGAAAAGGCAATGTGGTCAGATTATAAAGCTGTCCCTTTAGCTGAAGGCTTGAAGCAGTTGAGTAGGTCAAATAGGCCCGACAGGCCAACACTGACAAAGCCTGTCCAATACCTTCCTTCCTTCCTTCCAAGCAGCTCGTCACCCTGATTGCATAGAGGGCCTAAATAAGAGGTTTATCAGCTAATACATTTATCAATGACTTTGAAAAGTCCTATAATAATGGTCCTATATTTTCACAAAATATAACTTTATTATGAACAAGCATTTCAGACTACTACTGTGGTTGTTTCTGCCCGTGGTTTTATTTGACTATGTGAATAATTTTTCTTAAGAAACAAAGAATAATAAATAAATAGAAGGCAATACCTTAAGATGAGCCAAATATATAGAATTTATTCATGCAAAAATATATAGAATAACTTTGAAGATAAGTGTGTTTTGGTCATGGTTTTTTCTATTTTTCTATAGATGGAAATAACTATAATTTGAACACTTGTTTCTTCAATTCTTTTCAAAAAAATAAATTTAAGTAAAAACAATAAACAAAAAATATACCATATAAAAGCTTTCATTTTTAAGTTTCTTTAATGCCTCATATTATTGATGTTCTCAACGTAATTTGACAATTCAACCCACATGTCGTCATCACATGACTACAAATTTCAATGCCATAGTCATTGTGAAAAATTGCAGGGAGAGCTGGTAGCAACAATATAATCAAAGAAAGCATTCGTATACTTGTTGAATTCACAAGGGATTTCTAGGTTTTTTCCCCTTCCTCCTTCTCTGATTCATGCTCAGTCATAGCTCTTTCACCCTTAATCTCACGAATTAGAGAGGATGTGTGTTAAGACAAAGCCACGTTTTTTGCTCTTTGTGCTGTTGTTGCTATTTGTTTCCCATAGGACTTGCTTCTCCATTGTAGGTGATACCCTTTTGGTTGCCAATCTCTCTCTGCGAGCCGGACACTAATATCTCAAAACGGCACTTTTGAACTCGGTTTCTTCAAGCCAGGCACTTCTGTAAACATTTACCTGGGAATATGGTATAACAACTTCGCAAATAAGATGATTGTTTGGGTAGCAAATAGGGAGAGCCCTTCAAACGACCCAGCTTCATCGAAGCTTGAATTGTCAGCTGATGGCAATCTTGTCTTGCTGACGAATTTCACCAAAACAATTTGGTCAACAGCTCTTGCATCTTCAATGTCGAATACTAGTACAGCAGAAGCAGTACTTCTTGACGATGGAAACTTTGTCGTAAGAGATGGCTCAAATCCAGCTACCATATATTGGCAGAGTTTCGATTATCCAACTGACACATGGCTACCTGGTGGAAAGCTTGGAATCAACAAGCACACTGGGCAGGTGCAGCGGCTTATTTCCTGGAAAAACTCAGAAGATCCTGCACCAGGTATGTTCTCGATTGGGATCGACCCAAATGGAAGTAGTCAGTTTTTCATAGAGTGGAACAGGTCACACAGGTATTGGAGCAGTGGTGATTGGGATGGAGAAAGATTTACCATGGTGCCTGAGATGAGATTGAACTATATTTTCAATTTTAGTTATGTATCAAATGAAAATGAAAGCTATTTCACCTATTCCGTGTACAATTCCTCAATTCTTTCAAGAACCGTGATTGGTGTTTCAGGACAGATCAGACAGCTCACTTGGTTGGAAGGTGTTTGGAATTGGTTTCTTTTTTGGTCTCAACCAAGAGACCAAGCTGGTGTTTATGGTTTATGTGGGGCTTTTGGAGTCTTTAATGAAAATTCATCCAGCTATGATTGTGAATGCCTGAAAGGTTTTAAACCATTAGTGCAAAATGATTGGTCAAGTGGTTGTGTTAGGAAATCTCCTTTGCAGTGTGAAAATAAGAAGTGTTGGAAAGGAAGATGGATTCCTAAAGATTTCGAATCTGACATTACCTGCAAATTCAAAAACATATCAGAAAGAGAGTGCTGAAAGATGTAGATTGGATTGCATGGAAATTTGTTCTTGCGTGGCTTATGCCTATAATAATAACAGTGGGTGTTCTTTATGGGAAGGAGATCTTATAAACTTACAACATTCAGGGGTTGCTGATGGCCGGGCTGGATCAGAAATTTACATCAGAGTTGCTGCTTCTGAGCTCGAACTACAGATTGGTAATGGCAATCCCGGAACAGGTATGACTTTGTACATATAGACAGTATGATCCAATAAATGACGACAAACCATTTTTGACAAAATCACGGTCTTGTATTTTCAGATAAAAACGCGGACGCAGTGTTCCCTGTCGAAAAAAGTGAGATACATAACCTATCTTTCCATTTTTTCTACAATAAAAAAACTTCTTAATCCATTGTACAGGTTTTGGTTTATGATTTGGTAATATTTGATCTCTATTTACATGTAGGTAATATCAAAAGGACAATACGGACAACCTTGGCTGTGGCTATTCCAACTACTCTGATTACCTTCGGCCTCTTCATGTACTTCAGATGTCTGCGCAAAGGGAAGCTCATACACAGAGGTACATCCTGGTTCTTTCTTTAATTTCTGTTGTCTGCTGGTAGACTTAATTTAATTAAATCTTGAAGTTACTGGTTATGGTATCGATATGGTAACTTTTAAAAATTTAATTAGGAGAAAAGAACATGTTTTTTACATTTTTACTTTTGGGAGGAAAAAAATCTATTTAAAAAATCGTTATTTAATATTATAATTATTAAAAATTATAATTAATTAATAATTTTTTTTAATATGAAACTAGTTAAAAAAATATATATTATTACTTCTTTAAAATACACTTCATTAATAATTTATGTTAAATTATTAAAAGTCTATTATACCATATTAGTGAAATATACACTTCATTATCTGCTTGTATTATTCTTAATTCTAATATTAATAAATATTTAATTATGAATATTTTTAATTTTACTATTGGTAAATATTATATAGCTAAAAAACATATTGTATTTATGATTTTGCTATGAATAAACTAATAAAATTTTAATTGAAAACAAAAAATATATTTTTTTATTATTATTTTTGTAAAAAAACTAAGTCTATATTAAATATCAAATTCGTATTTCACAATAAAAATCCACAAATTAAATATATAATGAAATTATTAGGAAAAACATTACTTGACAAATGAATTCAAAAAAGTCCACAAATTTTTTAAAAAATTTCTATATAAAAAAAAAGTTTATTTGACCAGTTATCAAAACAAATTAATAAATTAAAGAAGATTTGTATAAGAAAGTGTTTTTAAAAACACAACTCAAAACAAATTAGACTGAATGGGCTGACGCCCAGGCCCAGCCTGACCTCAGCTTTTTTAGACTGGGCCAGCTCAGTTCGTATGGATTGGACTTAACCGGCCCAGCCTGATCATTGGTATTAGTCCGGCCCATCTGGTCACGGGCACAACCCAGTGAACCGGCTGTTCACTGTCTGTGTGTGAATTAGCTTTGCACAGTGACAGGGTAATTATTTCCGAGGAAAACGAAAGGAGCTTACCTGGAGGTGGTGTTTTGTTGCTGGAGTTCTGGAAGAAGATCAGTGCTCGTATTTCTGCTATTGGCCTCTCCTCTCCTCTGTTCCTTAGCCTTCTCTTCCTGTGCCTCACTCTTTTTTTGTTTCCTTCCTTGTCTGCTTCTTCCCTGCTCTCTGTGTTTTTTGTCTGTCTCCTGTTCTTCGTCTCGTATCTGTGTTTACTTTGTCTCCTGTGTTTGCTTGTTCTTCTGGTTTCCTCTCTGTTTTCTTTTGTGTTTTGCGTCCCTGTTTCCGTGTTGGTTCGCCCTGTTTGTTCCTCCATGTCTGTGTCTCTGGTTTTCTCTCTCTTTCTCTCTCTTTCTCTCTGTTCGTTTTTTTCTTGTTCGAGTCTTTTTCCCTCCCTCCTCGTCATGCCCTTTCTCCGGCTTTTATAAAGCCAGAGAATGCCGTGCGTTCATGCCTTTGTAACGGCAGGCATCGTGGGGCAGCTGGCAGGCTTCCGTTGATATGCTGCCGTTTCTCCTTGCAGTTGTTCCGGTTGGGAATGGCCATTTTCATTTGGGTCACTCACTTTATGGAACTTTGTACCGAAGCCCCTGGATAAATTGTAATTGGACCCCTATATCTTAGAGCCTTTCACATTAAAGTCCTTGATGTCTGACTTTTTCAATTCAGTCTTTAATTGACTCTTCATCTTTACATGTTTTCAAAATTACCCCTAAAAAAATTAATTAAGCTCTCTACAGTACCCCCTCTTTTCTCTTCAGGTTTTGGACTTTCATTTCTTGTAATTTTGACCCAAATCAACCCTAAATTTTATTATTTATTTAATTAAACCGTTGATTTAATTAAACTAATTTCTAGTTGAATTAAATCCCCAAACTTATTAATTATTTAATTAAGCTTTTGATTTGATTATTGAAGTAATTCAAAGTTTAATTAAGTCCTCAAACTTCTAATTGATATTGTGTTTACCTAAATTTCGATTTATTCTGCATTCATTTCATTTTTTCTTTTTCATTCATTTTTTCATTTTCTTCATTTTCTTCATTTTATATCATCATTTATTTTATTATTTTTTAAAATAAAATAAGATAAAAAATAAAAAATTAGATTATGACACTGGTAATGAGAAGTAAGAAAAACCCCTCCTCTGTAATTATGTTTAGGATATGCAGATGATAAGGTTAATTTTGTTGGTGTTAAGACATGTTTTTGAATTGAAGATTGTCTAAAATATTTAACCGAAATCTGATTTTCGTGTGTTTGTGTCCTGTAAACCACCACATCATTACTTATGGAGCTCCGTAAAACTTCTCATATAAAACATTCAAAATGTAAACGGTTGTCTGTGGGTAAAATCTCTTAACACCAAACAAACACCAAAGTGTCTTTTTTCATGACAAAAATTGACAATTGGAATCCCCTTTAATGTCAGAAATTGTGGTTATTATAACTTGGAGTGGTTACATTTTTTGTTGATATAATCAGAATTGCCGGATATTTTAACAAAGTGATTGTGTTCAGTAATTTTTAATTTTTTCTTGAACAGGGAAGGAATATACGGGTCACGATTTATTGATCTTTGATTTCGATACTGATCCTAGCTCAACTAACAAAGAATCTAGCTCTGTTGACAATCGGAAGAATAGATGGAGTAAGAATATGGAATTGCCATTGTTCAGTTATGAGAGCGTATCAGTT